AGTCACTGGAAGGTAAACAGATAAATACTTAAAGTCTAACCCTTGGATCAGTCATAGGCACTGCAAGAGACATACAGAGATGTTGCCCCACAAAGCAAATATATTTTACAACACAGATGGCAAAAAAGGAACAAGAGAAGTTGTGCTGTATTTCTTTAAATTCGTGATTAACAAAGCACTTGGCAGTCAGAACTTCGTATTAGACAGCATACACAAAAAAGTTGTTCCTGCTCCAAATATTAGGACATGTATCATTTCCCTATCAGTCTTGCAGGATATTTCTTAACTAACTTTTATATTAAATGAAGCCATCAATGGGAATGGAAGGAAAAAAATCCTGTTGAACCGATGTCTAGCTTGCAAAATTCTGGCATGCTGATTTTCTAAATCCACTGTAGTTACATGTGCAAGGCATGTGTCTCTCTAAAATCCTGCACTTATTAGGAATATACCACGTGACCAGATACTCTATGATAGTGGACTCTGGAAGGTCTAGGTCCACTCTAAGAATTGCAGACAACCATGCAGGTGATTTTGTCCAACCTTGACCATGCAAGATTCCTTCTACTATGCACTATAAAAACACTACTGAAGCAGTGACCCTGGTGCTAGAGCAGTCCTCCCTTCCCTTCCAGTGCTGAGTTGAGGGGGGTGTAGCCAGGCCCCAGCAGGATTAGAGAGGGGTTCCCCACCCTGGATAACAGAGCATTTACCAGCTGTGTTATCAGCATATCACCCCATCAGAAAACAAAGCCTCTCACTAGTTCAAGCTCTTCTTAAAAGAAGGAACAGAGGGACATTAGCTGCTGAGCTTTGATTGGCTCCAAAAAGCCCTAACCCGACACTGCTCTGCCACAGCAAGGATCACAGCCAGCATGTGGTCTGCTAGCTAATGCTGAGGTGTCTGTTTAAGGCAGAAGGGATGGGGGATTCCTGCTTAGCAGGGAGTGGGAAGCAGGAGGAAACCAGGCAGATGTTGCTGTGCTTGCAAGTCTCTGCCAGAGTTGCAACCAGGGAGCAGACAGGAGGGGCCAGCTCTGCTGTGGAGCAGAGCCCCACCCAGCCCAGAGAGCATGCTGGGGAGTCTGTTTAACCTAAACCCAGCAAGGGGTCTGGGACAGACATTGCATAAACCAGTTTGACCCAAATCAGTTAAGTCTGACACTACATTCAGCCAGGTTTATCTCAAGCTGGTTTATGTGCATGGAACTTCTGTTTTGTTAGAGGTTTAAATCAGTTTCTGATCACTTAAACTGGTTTATGTAATGTCTGTCCCTAGTCAGAGTGTTTATTGGGCCATTCTTCTCCTACACTGACACCCCATCCCCAGAACACCTGCTCTACAACAGCATCCCCAGTGAAAAACTCATGAAAGCATAATCTGGCTCTGCTGCAACTTCCTTAGCCTGACTAAGGGTTTTTGAACCTGAAAGCTTGCTTAATAATTTTTTTTTCCAACCAGTTAAATTGGTCTAATAAAAGATATTGGATTCACCCAAAGAACCTTGTCTAATCTGGCTCTAGAAGTCAAATTCTCTGTGGACATGGAAAAATAAATAAATCTAACAGAGTGCAGATATGGCCATCTATCACCATTTGATATTTCCAACTACTAGAATTGTACAGATCTTTCAAGTATTGTTCTTCACCCACTTTTCTGTGCACACGTCATGTTCTTCTAGTGTCTCACAAGCGCTATAAAAATCCTCATCTTTACGTATAGTCAGATTTAAGTGATCTAAATAATGCTAGCTATTGCCCCAGTCCATCAAGGCATTTAAAGCCTATTCCTAAAAATTTAAGCCAGAGTATTTCCAGATTTTAGTGGAACTACATGTGCTTAAAGAGGTAAGTATATGAAGTGCTTGAGTAGAGACAAAACAAGACATTTTTGCTACTTAAACAATGTTATTAGTTGTGACTAGTACATCCAGGGGAGGATCCAGGAGGTGTTCACTGGTGCACTTGTCCCCCACCCCCTTTGATTCCCAAAAGTTGAAAACCAACTAACTGTCTGGCAGTGACAGCAGCATTTCTTCTCAGGCAGTGTTGAAGGAGTCAATTGACTTCATGGCTCATTAAGTCTACCTGATCCCTTCTAAACTCTTTATTCTACAGGTGTCTTCTTTCTAAATGGCCATGACGTTCCATCAGTTGTATCCTTTGCTTTCCAATTCTGCCGTCTGTTAAGAGCAGCTATTTCACACCCCTGCAGATTGTCAATTCATTTCAGTGAAGTTGTGTGTTTGTGCTTCAGTCTTACACTGAATAATATGGCCCTAGCATATTAGGAAAGCTTCTAGTTTATTTAACTGGAAAAAATGGTATTGCTTTATAAAGTGATGCATCTCACCATGTACACTCCACTTTTCAAAATTCTAGATCCATCCATGAGTATATCACGTTACCAGATTCATTGCAGGATAACTGCAAACACCTTACTGAACTGAGGCCTAAATCCTTTAGTTACAATGTACTTCTATAGGCACAGGCCATCCATTTATGCAGATTACCCCACCTAGCAGTCTACTGAGCATGTAGATGCTGACAGATTATCACTCCTGCACCTTTCTTCATTGTTCCTTTTCTTTCTGCTGTCTACCTGCTGTCACATAGTAATAGCCCTTTATAGTCTGAATTAAAAAAAACAACCCCCTTAAAAAAAAAAACACCAAACCAACCAACCAACAACCACCACCCACCACATTTAGAAGTAAATATACACTGTATGTTAGAGGGCTTTTCTGCTTGCTTGTAGCTTTTAATGATGTTACAACTTGGCTAACATGATGGAATGAGAACCCCTTATACTTTTAGGGGTCAAATGCATAGTTTATTATTATGTGAATTAACATCAGGTTTGTATACAACCTAGAATGAAATATTAAACAGTTAAAAATAAAGCTACAGCCTTGAAATACACTTCACTAGAAAAAGATCAAAATATTGATGCTTTTACCTCCTCCCACAACCAATCAATTTCCTTCAGAACTGTAATCCACCATTTGGATTGACAATAACATAAATTTTCATCATCCCTCCAGCCACCTCAGTTGCTGCTGCCAGACACTAATTTTTCACAAATTGCTCCTAAAGCACTTTTCCCTCTTCTGTGCATATCTATGAGAAGCATGTAAACAGATTAAATCTGAAGTTATCTGATGTTACACATACAATCCAACATTTGAACTAAAACCCAGAAATAATAAGGTCACACTGTGCTTTGGTTTTCATTGTCAAGAATATCTGGAAGTAATAATGACAAGTGGTTAATCTTACCCTCGAGAAGATATTTTCCAGGGAGCTAGTCAAGGATTTCTTGGCTTTGTTTTTCAGAATGTCAAGTTTAAATCTGCCACCACTAGCAGTGTTTTCTGGAATTGCACTGCCAGAAATGTTCTGTTGAAATAAGCAAGGGCATATTTCAGTTTTGACCACACTCTAGGTAACTGAAGGTCTCAAAGAACTAAAACAACATGGCCTGGGTACAAAAAAAAAAAATTAAAAAAAATCTAACCTATAGGAAACTAGCTATCTATGCCTCCCCTTCCCTCCCCGCTCTTTTTTTTTAAAAAAAAAAATAAAAGAAAAGTTACCTAGATAATGAGGTGAAGTTTCATGCATTCTTCCCTTATCAACCAATCTCTTACCGTGCTTAAACGTTAGTGTTTTGGTCTTACTGTTCCTCCTACTGAAATCTAGAACTAGAGTAACTGCTCATGGCTTTTTTGGATGAGCAGAAAAAAGCCACATAAATACAAACTTTAAAAGTTAGCATCTCTACACGAAGCAGAACGGTATAGTTAAGATAAGCAGACAAGTCATTCAAAAGCTTCAGTGCCCGTTGAAGTATTCCAATACCACCCTGCTTACAATAGTTAAGGTTTTAGCTGAATAAAGTAAAAAAAAAAAACCCAAAACACAAAAACCCAACAAGCATAAGTTTTACCAATGGTGCTTCCCCAATATGAATGTGCGTCTTCTGTTTAGCTTCACACAGCTGCCGCAGATGCAAGATGACAAGCTCATTTTCTTCCTGGTCATTGGTAGGCTTCATTTTCTGTCAAGAGCAGACAGTTTTAGAGAAGGTGACTTGACACAATTGTTCTTAGAAGTCAAGCTACCAATGAGACTATGTACCGACCCCATATTCATAAGCAGTATTGGCATTTTCACTTTAGATACCTAACAAGCTAATGGAACAAGGGGCTTAGGACACCATTTGGTACATATGTACTGCTCTGTAAAAACAGACAGGCATTATAAAGCAAAAGTCCCTTTCTGAAGATTACTTTAGACTGAAATCTGAACTGCCCTACTTTCTTAGAGACCTAAATACTTTGAAGGACAGGCTTACAGGAGCTCAAGTCATTTCTAAAACTGGAACTTGGCACTTTTGGGGAAAAAAAAAAGTGCCCTTTGTGCCAAGCACACTACGAACAACAGTACATTATCAAACTGTTCATCAGCATATCAGATAACGAGGAGAAGTGAGCCACTGCACTGAGCCAGACCTGTGCCATAAAGAAAACATATGGCTTCATGGTAATAGTATTAGGTAACTTATGTCTACATACCTCTTGTAGAAATACAAGTAAAACATTGTAACTTTAATCTCATTTCCTTCTGGACTAAATTAATGGAATTTACAGAAAAATAGCTTATTCGTGACATGGAAAGAGAAGGCAGGAGGTAGCAGTTACAGCATAAATGTTCATGCTCTCCCAAGAGGCAACCCCTTGCTTCTTCCTCTTTTGAAGTAGTTAAGTTACCTCTGTCCCTTACTTGAGAATGCATTTTAAAATGTACTTTGTTAAACTTAAGGGAATTTAGAATGGGTTTTTATTTTTCCCAAGCTCTCACAAATAAGAGATTTCCTAGTTAAAGGGGAGCAAGAATTCTTTAATGGAAGGAAAAAGACCGCATTGCAGAAACAAACAATGTGCCGTTAACTGAAGTGTCGTTGTTCAGTCCACTGTACTTGTTTATACTATGAATTTCCTGAAGCAAAAACACATATGTAAGTGTATCTAAGTTAAATTATGAAACCTCATTATTTTGCTTCTGTTAGAAAAGCCTACGGAGTTGGAGTGCATCTATTGCCTGTATTTCCTCATTATTTGGAGTGTGTGAGATGCTCAGTCTAACAACTTCCTGGCAAGTCAGGTCCCTGGTAAACAAAAACAGTGTTATTGGAATCCATGGGATATAGTCCTGTCTCCAAAAACTGTGCGCCCAGCCATGCCACATATGCATGGGAGGATGCACAACATTCGGGATAGGCCATAAAATTCCTCATGGACACCAGGGGGCTTCCAAGGCCCAATCTTGGTGCTCAGCTGAGAGTTAGAATTGGGTGTGAAAGAACCAGGTTTAAAAGCCACATATGAAGCACCGGGCTGGAAAGACTCTCCTAATTTTGGATTCCCATGGCCCAGGCTTTGAAACACCATGTGTTCAGCTTATCTGGGCTGTCAGGACACCAGCCAGAGAGGTTCTCCCTGATCTTGGGCTCCCAAGGCCACAGGCTTTTAAACACCAAGTATGTAGCTCAGGTGCACATGCAGTTTTTAGACCTAGGATGGCCCTATGTCTTGGCTGGAGACTCAGGGCTGTCCCAAGACCTACCATGGAAAAATCAGACAGAAGACAGCTAGATCCTAAATCTGTGGCTACCCTGTGTGATCTCAAGACTCAGCTGAGAGTTAGGCTCAGGTATGGGGTAGCCTATGTCTGGCACATGCCACAAGGTCAATTTAAGGCATGATACAAAACCATCCCAGAAGTCTGGATCTCTGTGTGGCTGGATGGCCATTTTATCATGTTATAAAACTCATCAGAACATGTGGCATGTGGACTGCCTTCTTCCTTAAGCCCCACCATGATCTCCAAGGTCATATAAGCACCAATAGTATGTCAAGTCCACTCAGCAAACACACATGGGAGAGCTCTCTCAGCAGCTGCTCCTCAGCTCTACAAAGTCCCTTCTTGAGGCCTGCCAGAGGCCAAGCATGGACATTGTTTGAAAGTGCTGCAAGACCATCCTATTTCAGCAGACACTTAACAAGCAAAGACTGTTTAGTGGGTCTCTTATTTTGATATTTTTCTTGCCCTCAGGTTGTTTTGTTCTCTTACTGGAAGCTGCTCTGAGCCTTTGTTGGGAAACTCAGCATATAAAATCATATAATTGTTACAATTTACGGCAGGGGTGTTGGTTGTAGCCATGTTGGTCTAAGGACATAGGCACATTTGGGTAAATGTGATATCCTTTATTAGACCAACTAAATAGTTGAAAAGTGTTCTTTGCAAGCTTTTGAGCACAAACACCCTTCTCCAGGCATAGGGAGATTCTGCTGTTGTTCTGTGTTCTCCTGGATGGAATGGAAGCCAAGATGCAAAATACAGGTCTGTGAAAATGCAAGTGTGTGACAATGAAGATCAGAGAGATGGGAGACAATAGGTGCGAGACAGGTAGGTGGAGGGGGGTGGGGGGTGTTGACCTGCTGACAGAATGCAACTGGTAAAGTGTAGAGAGGTTTCCTGGGGTTAATCTGATGGTAGGCAGGTTATAAATGTGCCACAGATCCAATATCTATATTTTATCCATGATTTTTTTGTATCCAGTAGATTTATGAAGTGAAGTTTGTAGGCTCATCTACAAAAGTTGTTTTGTAAATTCCCTTTGAGGACTGGAACTGAGAGATTGGATGGAGTGTGGTTGTCTTGTGAGAAATGAGCCCCCAAAAAGGTAATTGGGTATTCCTGTCTTGATAGATTTCTGTTGCGCATTCATTCTGGTGCTCAGTTGTTGTTTAATTAACAAAGTCAATAGAGGTGCACAGATTAAAAAAACAACAAAGTCTGATATCAGAACAGGACTGATACAAAGAAAATTGACTGTATTGGAAATTGGCCTGACGGGGCCGATAAGTGGCCTGTCCATGCGCACAGCCACAGAGCAGTGCATAGGCAGCGAGGAGCACAACCAGGCAGTTTGGACAGCTGCATGCAGCTGGTAGATGTGGTGTGGCAGAATGGAAGGAAAGGAAGGAAGGGGCGTAGGGGATAGATCAAGGCCCCTGCAGTAAGGGAGGGAGTGGGGCTGGGACAGGCGCTGTCCAGCTGGGGCAAGGCAGGTGTGGGACAGAGCCGCGACTTGTCCAAGGGGCGGCTCCTGCCACTGTGTACACCACAGGAGGACATGGGGGGCATGTGCCCCCCAATCTGTGTGGGTGGGGTGGGCTGCTGCTGCTGCAGGCTGGGGCCAGGGCTGTGCCAGACCCTTCCCGGCACGTGGGGTTGTGGGCTGGGGCTGAGCTTAAGGCAGGCAGCAGCACTGGGAGGGGAGGTATGGGGGGGGGGGGCTACTGCAAATTCTGGGGTGGCTGCAGCCTCCCCTGTAGCTTCCTACAAATGCTGCCGCTCACCCCAAGTGCAGCATGGCCCAGCTCCTGCCGGGATGAACACAGAGCAGTCCCAGCCCTAGTCCACAGCTGTAGCCAGCTCCATCTCACATGCAGATCCAGGGGGCACATGCCAGTCCTGTGCCCTCCTGGGATGCATGCAGCAGCAGGATCTGCCTGCCCTCCCAGCGCTCCCTGGACAAGCTGCGGCTCCATCACGTGCCCTGCCCTGCCCTGCCCTGCCCGGGCAGCCCCTGCCTTGGCCCCAGCCCCACTCCTCCCTCACGATGGGGGCTTTCATCTGCCCCCCAAGCCCCTTCCCTCCCTCCTCCCTTTCCATCACAACAAACTTACCAGCTGCACACAGCTCCTCAAGCTGCAGGGTTGCATATTGGAAATCAGATCAGCATCCGCTGATATGCTACCTTAAAAATTGGTTATTGTATCAGCCCCCAAAATCTATCCATGCACCCCTATGTTAATCATGTCATAAAATGTAATATCTGCCAGGCATTTAGCAACTGATGCCCACAGAGCTTGAAGGGAAGGCTTCAGCAGTATTTTGAGATGGCAGGGAAAAAGTGGCTGTAGCTATGCTTTTAGTGTGGTCTGCACTGGAAACGGCTCATTTGAATCTACACTCCATTAAGTGCCCTCCCTGACATACAAAAAGAATGCTTCCCTAACATAGTTTCACAATATGTCCCTCCTATTTTACAGATGAAGAACTGAAGCACAGTAAAAGGAAATACAGTAAAAGACCTGTTACCTGGCCTTCTAGTAGCCGGAATACTCTATTAACTGGAATTTTCATCTGGCCAGCTGGATGCAGGGGGAAGTTTGCATGTGGTTGCCACCACTGCTACCCACCACTACATGCTGCCACCATTGCACATCTAGCTGAAATGTCCACCCCATGATGCCACCGCTCTGCATCCAGCTGCTGCTACCTCCTCCCCACCCCCACGTCCAATCGAAAACCACCGGCCTCAGGTAACCGGAATTTTTAGATGCCCAACACTCCCCATTCCCTGTATAGCAGGGCTTTTACTGTAACTTTACTTATTATAGACAATTTTAGGACAGAGTTGAGAATTTAACTATTCCCATATCAAGTATCTTCAACTGTAATTAGAGTCTGCTCTGACGTGCTGTATTAAATAGAGTCTGCTGGGGAGTGCTAATTAGCGCACTCCCACAGCCTCTGCATCTTATGTATTCAGCTTTCCTGCACTTCAAGAAGGTAGTGGAAGCACTTTAAAGTTTGTTGAAGTACCCCTGCCACCAGTTTTAAGAGTGGGATACTGAATACACAAGATACTGTGGGCACTTCTAGTAGAGTGGCTCTCAGAGTACCCCACCCACCCTCAATCCCTGGAGCACATGTAAAACATGCCCTTTATTACAGTAAAGGTTTGACACATGAACTCAACAGTTCATGAAAATGCACGTAGGTTTTCAAATTACACCTTAGAAGGAGAATATGCATATTTACCAACTTAAAAATATTAGTCCATTGACAGAGAAGGCAGCAACTTCTACCTTACCTGAACACGTTCAAAAATGTCTGCTTGTTCATTATCAGTAAGTGATGACAGGT